CACACATACGCACACACATACTACACACAATAAAAAACAAAAGAAATGTGACAGAGTGATTACAATAGTTCCTATTGCATTACATGCATAGGAACTAAAAAAGGCTGTGAACAGAATTTTACTCATTCATACCTCAATTATTTTGATTATTTTGTTACAACAAATCTATACTAAACTTCTAATAGGCAATAACTGATAAACTCTCTGTGCCATGACACAACACTTGTGTAATTTCATAACATATTTTATTACATTAAGTGTCACGATTTATATTGTATTGTGTGTACGTTATTTTTACGAACGCACCACAAAAGTGTGTGCCGCAGTTTGAAAGTGAGTGCTGATGGAAACCAGTTGGGGGCCGGTGGTTAAGGCCCCTTGTAAGCCAGGTCAAGCCTCCCAGTAAGTCAAAACTCATCGAACAAAGAAAAAAAAAATACTATCCTTTTTGATTTTTTAATTCTTTGGGCATACACAGAAAAACGATTTGTACTTAAAAGATATACTTTTAAACAATCTCAAATAACATACAATTTTGTTTTTCATTTAGGTCTGTACTGCATCTAACTAAAATAATGGTTAAATAATGATAATAATAATGGTTAATAGCGCTTAGAGACTTTTTGTATTTTGCGCTCTATAAATTAAAAACCATTAACCATTAAGACAAATCTGATAAATGTATTAATTAGGATCGTTTCTAAACATAAAAGGAAAAAGGTCCCAGATATCAGTGAGTGAAATATTTCGCTGAGCAGCATGGACAATTAATAAAGTGATCTGGGTCTTCCACTAAAGTCACAATGATTGCATAATGGGTTATCTATTAAGCCATAGTTGAATAAATGAACATTTAAGCTACTAAAACCGAGACGGATAGAGTATTTACCATGTTAATCTAGCGACTTCCTACTTTAAGCATTTTTTGAAGCATATGAATTCCGTAGAATGTTTCTTAAAACAAGAGCTGAAATATTCATGGAAAGCGCTATGACAAAATTAATTAAGACCAACTAAGGCAGCTAGAAAAGCTACTAACTGTAAACATTAACTGATAGGCAAGGTAATCATTTAAAATACCTTTGGGCATAGACAGACATATAATTTTACAATTTCAAACATCAAGAAAGCCTTGCATTGCAACATGACTTGATTTTATTGATTCGGGTAGCAATCACCCCATGCGCAAGTGGGTA